TTTCATTAGTTTCTTGACTCATTGTACTCTCAGTCATAGTTTGTACTTCTAACTTTTTTTTCTAGGCCAGATAAGTAAATATAGCAGCTCGTGAAGCCTCCTCCGCAGGCATCGCCTTTAGATTGGCGGGCAAAATTTACTTGCAGGCAAAAAAAATTGTAAAGTATTTGAACCACGAGATGTCTGCGGAGGAGGCTACAGCGCGTGGCAAACGTATGGGTGTCTGAATTTCAGTCACCCTTATATTCTATATATTGCGAGTTATATGGGTGTCTGAAATTCAGACACTCTTATATTCTATTGCGAGTTATATGGGTGTCTGAATTTCAGATACTCTTATATTCTATTGCGAGTTATATGGCTGTCTGAAATTCAGACACCCATATAACTCGCGCGCAATATAATATAAGAGTGTCCGAAATTCGGACACCCGTGTAGCTCGCAATAGAATATAAGTGTGTCTGAATTTCAGACACTCATATAACTCGCAATAGAATATAAGGCTCTATTGCGAGCTATATGGGTGTCTGAATTTCAGACACTCATATAACTATATCTTGCATGATCGTTTATTCAATTTCCAGCGATAGAGGAGTCTAAAATTCAGACACCCCTATATATTACACCAGTTATTCTATTGCACATGCATTTTAGCAGACAGTTCATTTTTTTTTGTTTAAAAGTTTGGTATTGTGCGGTAAAATGAACAGTTATCAGAATATTCGGCGAAAATTAGCTAAAAACATTAAAAATAAGCTTTTTTCTACCAATTCCTTCGATTTTGATTGATTTTGGAAGTAGACTGAACACACTCAGCACAAATTATAGAAAAATAACAAAAATGTAAGCCAGAAGAATTGCTGTCAGCGAAAATCAAGATTATATATCAATACAATTTCGACACAAGTTCGCAGGAAATCGCCTTTTTCTTTGAAATTTGGGGCAAAATTACGTTCACTTGGCAATTATACCGTATTTTGGCAGAAAAATAAGAAATTTCCGCAAAATATTGCAAATTTGAGTCAAAATTCGAAGTTTGGAATTGTTCAAAATTCTTTGGAACGCGTTAGTAGTTTATATACAAAAATTGCGTGATAATATGAATAAAATTTATAGGATGTATTAGCTACATTATTGGTTCAGTAATAATAACTTTGCCAGTATATTCTTACATTATATTTATTACATATTTACAACGTATAGTTTCATAACTATTGATAACAATATTTTATAATATATACACTGTCTAGATCTTTTACTGTGAGTCTTATCGTATCTCTTCACTTGTAGGTCTAATATTAATATGGTACTAAATAACTACAATCATGCTTACTATTTTAATTATGCCAATTAAATTAGGGATAGGATCGCTATTTTACAATTAAAAAGTTGTGCTCATTTTTAAATAGATAATAAAAATAGTAAAGCGCGGTCAAAGAGGATGAGACATGCAATCGCGCATTGTGACCGGGATATTTCAAGCTCTAGATTAATAAAATAAAGGTTTGATAAATTTACGTTTTAATTTATATAAAATACATTAGCAGAAATATGGGACAAGATGGAGACGGACATGCGCACATTGCCCCAATATGGCGACTAAATATTACTATAAACTATACAGGGATTTACAAAAATGTCAAATTTTAACCTACTTTGTTTAGATATCTCATGGTTGCGGACTTCGATAATAACAACAGCACGAACAAGCAGTATTTGTAAACCAAAATCGCTAGCATTTCTACACGTCTAAGTGGTTCCCGTGATTGGTGTATTTTCACTAGAAATTCGAAGTATTTGATAGTGTAATCTATAGTAATCTTGCCATACATGAGGTAAAACTCCGCCGAATAGACCAACATTCTTTCGCGCGATGTAAACTGCGGACTTCGCGATGTATTTAGCGATGTTCAAACTGTCCGTATAGCTTAACATATCCCAGGTTATTCTGCGCCAAACCGGTTCCAAAATCGTTTAAAACTTTGCCTTTTTATGAGTCTTGCTTATCGCCATTAAGTTATATTTATAGTTGAAAACGACAAGTCTAAATACAAATTTAGGCTCCTTCGAGCAGCCATGTTTCTTGTTTACTAGCAAAGCTTGTACCCAGTCCCTCACTTAAGGTGGGGGTCTACCTAAACCACTCGAAAAAATCGATTTTCATTTTTTGAGCTAAATAGTTAGTGTGGCATGTAATTGATGTTGTGAAAGTATTTATTTGGTTGAATTAAAGAAATTGTTCTCTCAGGAACTGTCTTAAACAACCTCACTATAATTTTTAGCTTGGTTGCCATGGAAACGAAAGGCAGCATCCTTCATATTTTTCATGTTTTTGCTAATATACTGTTGTCCCTCCCCTCCCTAATATAAAATAATAATGCAGGCTCATCTCTAGATGATTTTGCAGCGGATCTACATGAAGATTATGCGCGTGTATGCGTTTTTTCAAGAACTACTGATTCAAACAGAGCAAATTGAAAAATGTGTTTCAATATTTCGTAAATATTGATTACTTTTGTGTATATATTTCTTAACATTTGGTTAAAAATAACGGACAATGGTACACAGAAAACATTAAATAAAACATCATTTACTGGGGTAAAGAAATGCGCGATAAAGACGACGATAAAACGTGAGCACATTCATGCATTCAATACCTGCAATGTCAACAGGCATCTTCGAATCGTATTTGGATTCTTCATCTTATAAACAGATATTCAAAGGTTTGTTCTGATGCACTTAGTAGCTGTGTATGGTGAACTGTGGATGTAAGTATTTTTCTATCATCGAATGATTGATTCTACTATATTACTATAAGTCGAAATGTTGCAGTATTAAAGGGGCAAGTCATTCTTATAAATACAATGTAATTAGTAATTATTGCAAAATTGCAAATTTACAACATTATATCATTATATCAAGAGATCAATTTCCTCTACCCAATTTTAGTACAGATATCAATACATTATTTCTTGCTTCATTGTTATAATTTTATTATTTAATGCTTCTTGGTGTTAATATTAATGAGGTTGTTTTTGTTCTGCATTTTAGGGACTGTAATCACATGTTAAGGCCTACCAAGTTTGAGAGCTTATTTTGAGCCGAATATGTTTACCGAATGTACCACTTGGAGCAACAGGACAAGAATACAGTTACAGATAATTTTATTTTACCATTGAATCATGTAATTTGGTATTGACAATTGATTGTATACAAAAAACTGTGGTATTAAAATGTTGGTCTGCATGCCCCTTTGGTACGTAAGCACAACGAGTGCCATCACTGCCGTGTGCATCTTTAAACATCCTTGTTAGCAGCAAGTGGGTTCAGCAAAGAAAATGGTGGAAAATTTAGCTATACAAATTGAGAACTGGACTGGGATGTCCTGTTAACACTCAGGAACATCTTTTAAACCAACTATCAAACTGCGGGAAAACCAAATGGTGATGCAAGACATAACAGCATTTGGACGGAATGGTAGAAAAATCAAAATTTAAAAGGATTCTTATTATAAACAAGTAAATCTTGAAAAAGAAATGACTTCACATGACAATTGATGATGAGGGATGTCCAGCACAATTTTAATTGTCTAAAATATTGAGTATAGTGTATATCTTAACAGTTGGTAGTTCATATTTGATAACTTATACTTTATACACGTTTTCCCGAAATGTGGTATTTTTCATCTTTGAAAAAAGATAATTCTTTATCAATTTGACCAAACTGGCTGAAATTTTCAGTGTTAATAGAGCTCATCATGATAAGTGTTTTCAACGATAGAATTTGGCATATGTTGTAATGCTGCCATTTTATCGAGGAAATATGCCAGGTTTTTTGGAAGAAAATCGAACCAAAATTTTGCAGCAATGTTGTGCAAAAACTACATGCAGCATAAAAAATTCCATCGCTGAAAACAATCTACTTGCTTTGTAGTCAACAAATAGCTCTTAGTGGCAAAATTTCATTAAAATGGTAAGGCTGTATTTTTTCCCAACTAACAGTGATTTGTATGAGACATACACTGTGTTTAATTACTAGATGGCAGGATAAATATTAAAGGTATGAGAAAGACCTTAGTATTTTTAGAATCTATGTTATATAGGCTTTCTAATGATATATAGTTTTGTATAGCTATCTAAAAAACTTGGCGAGTAATAGGCTTGCAAACGTGGTCAACCGGAATATCGCAAGTTTAGGTAGACCCCCACCTTAAGAAAAACAGAGAGATTTGCGAGATTTTGTAGCTCGATTTCGTGTTGATATAGCAATTTGCGTGCGGATATTTCGCGGATTATTTAAAATCTCTTTCGTGGTTAAGTCAAAATGTCGGAAGTGCTCGAAGAATACAGCAAAAGAAAGTTAGATTGGAAATTGAAAGTAAGTTCTGAAGCTCCTCTTACTTATGTTAGGCAACAAGTGGACTTATTTAACAAGATTCTCTTTTGTGTGGAGATTACATAGCCACTGCTTAATGTATGGAAAAATATTCGCGAAACAACTTCCTGTGAAAATGCAAATTATGTTGACTTATTTAATTTAACTGTGCCAGACAAATGGTTTGCTTTAAAACCCGGTAACCAACGTATCGAAGAACTACTTCGTAAGGAATGGCACACGTCCTTTGCCTTTGGCAGTTCGAGTCGCCATTTTGATTTTTCAAGCGATTAGCCGCTGCCAACAAACGCGGGCGCAAAATGTCCCATATTTCTGGTAATGACATGATATTGCGGGGAAGCTTTAATTAGAAACGGTTAACTTAGGTCGGGTGGTTGCGAACTCTCATGCATGCATGCACTCTGCTCCTCGTTTTATTCGGACTTTAGATTCATAGTTCTCCACAATTTCAATGCCATGTTTCCACAAACGCTTTGGTAGGAAGTCGGGTATATGCAACTTTGCTATGTCGTAATCCAGAACTGTTACGTTGTCTTCGTTACCTGGATTTGGGAGCAATTTTTTTAATTTCTCCAGCGCTTCACCGTGCTCCATAGATATAGCATCAGAATTAGTTAAACTTTCTTCGAACTGACAGGCCAGTTTTCCCAAACGTTCGCTGTTTCCATGGCGGATACAATTAACGATGAAATAATAGTGATTGATCGTGCGACGATTGTTGACGTACTTGGCTAAATACTCTTTCGCATCCTCGTGCTCGATATTTTGTAGACCTTCAATTTGTTCAAAGTTACGATCCCACGAAATTATCTCCTCCAGTGCTCTTGTGCGAGGTTTTTCAATCGAGGATAGATGCTTCTCCAACTCGTAACGCTTCGCCAGCCGTCCAAACTTCATTAGACTTGCTGTCATTTTAAGTATGTCCAACATATCTTTCAAAACGTTTTTCCATTCTGGAGACATCGTTGTTTCTATTTCAGATTCTACAAGATCGAGATCGCTTAAATATGGATGTACTTTGCCATTTCTCTCAATTCTTAGAATGTCTACTACTTTCTGATGTTCGTCTGTCCAATTTGTTAATTTACGTTGTATTTCATTCCAACGATTGCCTATCGGGTTTTTTAATCCCCTCAGGTACTTTTCCATTTGACTAAACTTGCCGCTTCTGTAGATCTCCTTTGAAGAGTCGACTACAAATCTTGCCAAATGTGCTTCCCACAGCCACGTTGCCTCGACTACAGCAAGTTCCTTTTGTAACTTTTCATTTTCGGTTCTCTGGCTTTCCACATCCTTTTGTAACTTTTTATTTTTGGTTTTCTGGCTTTCCATTTCCTTCTTTAAACTATTTATTTTGTCCCAAAGATTTTTATTTTGGATTTCCTGATATTCCAAAAGATCTTAAACTTGTCCGCGCAAGTTTTCCAATCGTTTTCGAAGTAAGTCATCTCCAAGTTTCTTAATCTCGTTTTCCACACCTTCCAGTGCTTCTAAAAGAGTTTTCTTGGGGATGATTTTGGGCGAGACGTCACAATGAGAGCTTTTCCCCCGTTTATTAGGTGGTTCATGTGTCAATCCTTTTCTGGAAGCCATGTCAAGCTAAAAATTAAAATACATTTTAAGAATATTGGAATTTATTATTTACGTGTTTTAAACATGAGCGAGTTTTAACCGGACATTTCCAGAGAGTCTGATTATAAATACTAATTAATTAAAGGAACGGCTGAAGAGAAAAATAAAGTTTTTCACACAATAATTCAGGCAAAAATAATTGAAATATCTGTTTTATACAGTCCGACTGAAATTGTAAGAAATTCCTTAAAAAATTCCTTAAAAATGGGACTCCTTAGTTAAACGTTGCAAATTTCCTTGTTTTCCAAATTTTGCAAATTTCCTTGTTGCAAATTCCCTTAAATGTAAGGGCCAGTGGAGGCGCCAAGGGGGGAGGGGCAAGGGGAGGGGGGAAATGCCCCCCATCAATTATTTTTGCTCCCCGCCCCCGCATTTCCCCCCCTAAAAAAAATCATTAGTTACTAAGAGCGACTAAAGGCTACACAAGCGTTTTGTCGTTATCGGAAAATGTATGGCTTATAAGTTGCCATTACTCATTAGTGAATGCGCGTATACATGAAAGTGCTTTTTACAGTTTCAATATTAGTTTGTAAATCTTGCAATGGTAAAACTAGCCAATACTCCAATAATACGTTTCAAAAAAGACAAAAAAGCTTTAGTTTTGCAGAGTTAAATTCTCAAACGTGTAATGCACTAATAAGATGAAAGTATCACGAAATTATTTGAATAAACCACATCGCATATATGGGGGGACAAATGTCCTAAAGGGGGGCGAATCTCCTGGGAAGGGGGTGACTTTTTTAAAAATTATATCCGCCCCCCCAAAAAAATAGGAGTTGCCCCTCAAATGCCCCCCCCCCCAAAGTCTGAGACCTGGCGCCGCCACTGGTAAGAGTGATGATCTTTCGCATCGAAGAGGGAAAATATAGACTTTCGGAAATATTTTAGTTGTTTACTTTCAAAAATGTTTGTGAGAGAGTTGATAATCTTACTGAGGAAGGCCAACGGTTTCTGAAAAGCTAAAGTACGTCGAAATCAGCATGGGAATAGACTAGATTTTCACCGGTAAAATATGAACTAAATGGATATTTACATCAACACTACATTCAGCTCGCGCCTGCAAAGCTAGTTGGATTGAAACAGATTTTAAGAAGTAAGTAAAAATGTGAATTTTGTGAATTATACTTTTATTAAAATGTTTCAGATGGCCTGCATGATCAAGAATTTATTAACTATTGACATGACAGAGCTTGACTCATTAACCTGTAATTTCTCCTATGAATGAGCTCTGTCTAGCCCGGGGCCGTGCGCTAGACACTATAATTGGGGGGGGTGTGTATATTCATATATTCATGTTCACATATCGTAAAAACAATTGATTTCCAAAGAAATCCGTCCGGCAGAACACGAATATATGAATATAACCCCCCCCCCCGCCCCCCAATTAGCGTTCTAGCTACGGCCCTAGTCTAGCCATCAGTCTGATGCCAGTTATTTTGTAAGTTGTTACCTACAGTATGGTGGGAAGTCCAAAAGACCCTTGTGAGTAAGTACAGTACGCTAATAAAATGAATAAAGCAACTAGAAATACATGTATGCAGTAACCCCTCGCTAATATTTTCCAAACATTAAATTAACATGAAGTATTCAGTGTATTGACCAACACTGAGCGCAGGCTCGCGCTCAAGTGTTGCCATGACAACACGATATTCTTAAATTTTTAATTTTTTCATATTTTTTGTACGAAACTGTAAAATAGTTGAAAGATTCGAACTTTTAGCTATACAACAATAACTTTCCGAAATATTTACTGTAGGTATTTTATTTTGCATTTTGCGAGCTTTAAAATTTAACTTAAAACGCTTCGTAAAATGTTTTGAAATGTTCATTCAACTAAACTACATTTTGCCGATAAACTGTTTTCACTCAGTATAAAACATAATAAAATTGATGTCTTTTAAAATTGAAATTTTGCTTATCCCACTCGCACAAGCAATCAGCCATATTTTTGAGATCAGTGAGGATGACCACCCACTGGTTCGTTGGTCACGCCCGCGATTATTGATGAACTTTAGACTTCGCTAATGATTTCATTTTCCCTGGTGTAAATTGCCGGGGGGGGGGGGATTAGTACCCTCGCACGGCGCTTCGCGCGGTCGGCTCGGGTATTATATATTCCATGAATACTCATTAGTAATCCTAATGTCTCCCACTGGTAATATACTTCGATACTTCACAACAATAGTATTAATTAATATACTGTATATCTGGAATATAAATTGTGCGGGTAACCCATGATAGTAGACATGACTACCCCAATGACATGCCCTAACACTAGATTATTGTTGCTATTGCAATGCCAAACAGTTGTACATATCTAGTATCCATTCACACAGTGGCATAGCCAGCCCGACAACTTAGTCCCGCTATGCAAATTCGAAATTATTACCATTATTCATTTCTTTAGAAATTGATTGTTTTCACAGTCAATTACCACGAAAATATTTGCATAAACTAAATTGTCGGGACTAAATCGTCGGGCTGGCTACGCTACTGCATTCACATGAGCATTGATATAATGTTAATGCAGAGCAGATTTAAATGAATTGGCATTTATGTAAGAGATGCGCAGTTGAATAACATACATGTTTTTAGTCCACAAGATACTCCCTTGGAATTGCGTCATATGTCAGGTCATAAGATATTATATTGAATGATATTTAACAATTATTGGATGAACTTGAGCACGATAAAATTATCAAGCGCAAAGTTTGCCGTTATCAACCGGAGCCGAAGGCTGAGGTTGATAACGGCAAACTGAGGGCTTGATAATTTTTCATATTGTGCGAAAACCGAATTCAATAATTGTTTTATTATTTATTTAAAAAATTCAAAACAAACGGTTATAACAACAAAAATAATCGCTGAGTTTGATAAACAAATACAAATTAACTCAACAGCAATATAAATAGCTATGTTCAAAAGTTAATGTTATTAAAGATCATGGGCATTCTAGCTATGAATGTCAACTTCACAGTCGTAGAAGTTAAATTGTTTTGTTGATTGAGTCGAGCTTTGAAAATTAAAATCTTGCATGATACGTTCTTTTTGCGAGTTTGTCAAGATGTCGAGATCAAGTGTGACGCAACGCTGCTGCGACAGCCGAAAGTTTAGCCAAAGACAACAATGTTGTACTGTCAAATCCTCTGTCAAATGTAATCACTTATTCATCTCATGAACTGTTCAATTTCCAATCCGTTATTTGTGCAGAGGTTCAACGTATTATCATGGCTATGCCAAGAAATACGTCACCAGGACCAGATAAAATAGACATGCGTGTTATAAATACTGTTTTCCAATCATACTGGGTCCTCTTACGCATATGATAAATTGCTTTCTAATGACAAGCACATTCCCTGACCTAATGAAGATTTCTGAAGTTATTCCCCTACTAAAAGAAGGAGACCACGAGATAGCCTCAAACAATTGGCCTCTCTCATGACTTTAGGTAGTTTCAAAAGTTTGTGAAAAAGTTGTTCTGAATCAATTTAGCTCCTACCTCAAAGAATTTAATCGCATATCGTCACATCCAAGCGGGAATAGGAATCTTCACTCTACAGAAACCTTAAACATATTTGTTACCGATACCATGATGGAAGCCATAGACAACAACGGAACTAATTTTATTGGATTTATCCAAGGCATTTGACAGTGTCAGTCATTCGATTTTATTACACAAATTGAGTTGTACTGGTGCTTCACCTGAAGCTGTTAAATGGTTCCAAGACTATTTGAGAGGCAGATCCCAATACGTGCGCATTGGATCCACCAAGTCATCAGCTCGCTCGATAACCCATGGCGTTCCACAAGGTGCAATACTATCACCACTTCTGTTTTGCATCTATATTAACGATCTGAATTGATATTAACGAGCATACAATCGTGTAACCTTGATTCATACGTAGACGACTCAAAGCTTTACTAAATCATTCTGCATCTACGACTTGGAACAGACTACTATCAATTTAGAGGCAGATCTACAAATAGCAGCCAAGTGGTGTTTGGAGCACCAATTACTGATCAATCCAGAAAAAAACTAAATTCCTTGTAGTCGGTTCAAGACCCATGCTACAGAACGTACCTCAGAAATGTCGCTAACATTTTTAGGAAAGACTATAAGACCTGTTTTATTAGCTAAGGATTGGGGAATCAATTTGGATTCGCACCTATCCTACGATGACCACATATCTAAACTCGTTTTGTCGTGTATGAGAAAACTATGTCAAATATTATGACGGTGCTTGAAACTTTCAAAAATACACGCGATTATGTTGGAGTATTTCGAAGTATAGCCTCACTGGATATTTGTTGTTTCTTCAAGGATTAAAACAATGTCTACCGTAATTCCCGAGATATGAAACTAGATCAGCGCTTTGTGTGCCATTCCGCCACATTCTCGTCTCCAGTGCTATTTTCGCTCCGTTACTCGTCGAAAATCAGTCTCTGCATGGGTTAGACCACTAATGGGAGGCATTTTCTCGGAGAACTGCTATTTCCCAGAAGTTGAGCAGTTTTCGCTAGGCAAAATTATTCTATCAAAATGGTAAGGTGATGGTAATGGTTCATTGGCACATTTAGTAGCAGTTAAGCTAATTTTCAATGCGTTTACAACATTTGGATATTAATAATTCAAGCACGTTAGGTGAAAGAACAGCCCAAAAATAAGTAAAATATACACCAAATCATTGTGGGAGAATGGGTTCGGGGTGAAGGGAACCAATTATATACATTATCACTCTTAAACTCTGGTCAACCCAAAGTCTCATTAAGCCTTATGTTTTCATCCCGCAGGGGTATATATAAGATCTGCTAGGAGAGACTGAATGCTCCATAGGAGCTCTGCCCGAAGCGTATAGCGACCCCCTCTGACATAGACCTGTACCAAGGGGTGATAATCCCTTGCATGGACAGTACCTACGATTCGACTGGTTATATTTACATAAATAACCTGAGTCTATGGGCCTGAAGTTGACCATTGGGAACACTTCGACCCCACAAATACACAGCATGTGTATTCCCCATATACGAACTCCCACAACAGCTGTATTTGTATACAAGACAGCTGCTGCCAGATGATAGTTAGACATATATTTGGGCGTTACCATCACTCATACTATAGCTGGATAGTGAGGGAGGCCAGAAAAAACCTGCTATATACAGGAAACCTGAATGGGGCCAAGACAACCAGCAGTTTCCCCACAAAGCTTCTATCTTACTATTTCTTAATTGGAGGGTTGGTAACACGACAAACAAAGCTCACTATCAAGGCACATATGATTTATTTTTATTTTATTTTTTTTAATGATTATGTGTTCATGAATATGTTTTGCACAACATTTATTTGTTAACCACACTTATTTTATTTCAATTATGATCGGTGGAACTTTCTCGATTATGTGACATTACTCTCAGAAAATAGCTTATTCATTACTTAAATTTAAAATAGCAAGACCAAAACGCAATTCAGGTGCTTATAACCACAGTGTTGCGATCGAACATCCAATCATGCATTCATGATATTAGCGGAAATTGTAAAAATATGTATTTGGTAGACAAAATAGACCAGGGGTAGAAAAATTATCGGAACCTGGGAACCTAGTTCCTAGAAATTTTTTGAGTTGAGAATTTTGCAGAAAATTTTCCAGAAAACTTACAAGTTACAACTATTCTACTATATTTACACTGTACACGCTAACATCAGCAGCCTTTTAAATATTTGACAGAAATTATTCTTTTACCCACCCCTGCCATCTCAATAAGATAAAATGGTAAGTACATGCTCTGCAAAGTCTCCAATAAAATTCAAATTAAAATAGTAAACAAATAAAAGTGATGGAATAAATAAGATGATAGGACACTTAGTTAAGCAATTAGATCCTTACTAGTTGGTCATAACTCACAACTGTGATATATAACAGACAACTATTGCGATGTACGAGCATACGAAAACTAGCCTAAAGCCTATTATTACTAAAGTACAAATAATACAATAATTATGCATTTGTTTTGTTATTTTTGTAACTGTAACATTGAAAATTTTACAGAAAATTTCTAAACTTCGACCCAGGTTCCCAGAAAGAAAAAAAAAATTTCCACCCATGAAATACATTATGCAGTAAATAATAGTACATCAAAGAATTTTCAATTTTCATGATCGTAGGCATACATGGTATCGTACCAATCTTTCATGATATCCATCTTGCCGACTTATCGCAAATGTGCATAAACATATACCATGTGCAGAGTTTTAAGTCTTAAATTTCGTTTACAGATGAGCTTGCTTTCTTAAGTTTTGAACAGTAAAGTATTGACAATGTATGCAGCGATTGAATACAGTTTAATGTAAGGCCTGATTGAAACCCAATGCAAAGCCGAATCTGATGCGTAATCTGAAGCCTAATCTGCGGCTAACCTCAAGGTGGTAAAAATTGTCATTGGAATTTTTGATCGACAAATAATACACCAGAATGTTGTTATAAAATAGACGAATATTAATACATTTTTGGTTGGTTTGAGAAGCGGAATACGAAACAAACGTGTCAATGCACCGCATACTTACGCGCCGAATACCCCTTCACTTTAGGAAGCATGTGCATTGAGACATGGAATGATATCAACACTCAACAGACGCTTGTTGATTTCGTGTTTAGCGGCTGCAGCCAATCGATCTTGTTGTTATTCCCCCAGCGGCGGTTTCATTTTATAATGGTAATATAATAACTTCGTCGGGACTTTTCTTGTCCACCAGAAAAGTAAAAGCCCTTGTCTGGTAAAGTTCTATTTGAATAAACTGCATCTTACTGAATTATCATACTGAGTTACTGACCAAATTTTCTTTATAACCATGATATGTCAATACCAGCGTTCATAAACTCTTTCCTGTCACATTGCTTCCGTTCATTCGATGTCCGTAATTCTTTACAGCTCCACACCAAGTCAAATTTTCAAATTTTCTTTCTCGGTAACAAGACATTGCTCTTTGTTGGGATATTTGTCCAAGTGAACTCCCTTATCATAATGACCTTTGTTCTGCGTGTTCGTTGTTGACATATGATTGGTCAGTTGATCTTTTATTCGGTTTACACATGCTCAGAGAAGCATTTGAACTTTGGACCATTGGATCAGCCGTTCCGCACGTTGTAACCAATGATCTATTGGTGTTGTACTGCCATTGTATGCAATAAAGTATTGGGTTGTAATGGATCTACGATTAATCCGAAGGTTAACCCTAACCTCTAACCCCTAACCTCTAGCCAATAACCAACCCTAACCTCTAATGCCTAACCCCTAACCGCTAACCCCCACCTCCTAACGTGTTGTCTCATTAACTTTAATTTATATATTGTTATATATAAATTTGCTTAAAAAGGGTATATATTCTATTTATTTACATGTCATTCATAATTAAATATAAAGTCTTACTAATCTATATCTATTTACGTTATGTATAAAAACTACTAATAGATACCTATTTGTACATTATCCAACTGATAAAATTTTAAAAACGAACATGATTCTAATCAACCAATTTAGAATTATACAAGTATAATAGAGTAAACCAAAGGACTTTGTTTAAAACGTTCGGTTTTACAAGAGAAAATATATAACCTCTGACTAATAATCTATTAACGTTGTCTCAGTTATTGCTTGGTCGCAGTGTAGGTTTGAGTAAATTATTCTAAATACTCGTTTTTTAATTCGCTCAATGCTCTTTTTCTGCTCTTGGGTTAGACCTCCGTTCCAAATCGCTGCACCATATTATAGGACGAATTACTGAACAGTAAATTGCTAACAAATTATCCATGGGGGCACAATAACTCTTCAAGATCTTTAATAAATACAGACGCTTGGCCGCTTTCTTTGCGATATATTCCGTATTAGTTTTCCGTTTAAGATCGTATAATCTAACCATATTCCCAGTAACTTATATGACTTTGTTCGAGAAACATTATAACCACCAACATGAATTGGAGGTATAGGGGATATATTTTTCCTAAAGTCAATTTCATCTTCATACACTTTTTATAGTTTACATCCCTTCGTCCTTTGCAAACAGTACCACCTTTTCTACGTTCAATTGAGTATTACGGGCCAATACCGATGGACAAGCGACCTAAATGGTCACTGACATTGATTACTTCCGATAATGTTGTGTCATCTAGAAACATCGCTACATCCTGGCTTCTACGGCATTACATATTTGTTCTTGGTTATTGGGTATAATAGACTTTGGTAATTGGTTTATTTTTATTATAAACGTAATAGGACCCAACTTACTCCCTTGGGGAACGCCACCCTTGATTCGTTTACAATCAGACTGTTCTCCTTGGAAAGATGTTACTTGTGATCTGTTATAAAGATATGATGCAAACCAACCAACCACAGCCGGCAGCACATTATGATTGATCAGGTCAAATGCCTTTCGAAAACCAAGAAACATAATACGAACAATTTTTTTTTTTGGGGGGGGGGCTTTCCATTGCCATTTGCCATTTATGTAACAAATAAATCAACGCATATATTGTAGATGTTCCAGGCAGACTGCCAAACTGACTGCTACTGATTATATCATGAACATCCTCATAAATTCAAGCATTAAAATAAAATATATGTCAACACAAATATTTCGTTTCATTGTAATACTTCTCTGTGAAAATTGTTATTGGTTGACTGGTGCTAAAGCGTCCCAAGTCAAGAGTGTGCGCTTTAATTAGAAACTACTGCAGGTTTTCTTGCACTTCCTGTTCCGTGTTTCCCAGGGCTCATGAAAGTTGCGCACGGCTTTGACACATTCAAAAAAAAAAAAAAATTGGGGGCAATCCTATGTTCTGGGACCGACTTTTGTAGTATTTGTGTTTGATAAGAAAAGTCAACTATTTAAAGATTCGAAAAAAAAATTCAGTTTTCAGAACTTGTAAGCAGATTATAAATTTCTACACACTTAAGCGTTGTTTTCTGACATCAGAATCCTGTCAAGACTTCCCCAAAGTCCTGGAAATGGCATTTCTTCGGCCCTCGTTTTCAGACTACAATATAAAAGAGCTTCCTACTGCACTGTATGCTTCTGTGCGTAGAATATATATGCGAATTTTTGTTTGGTAAATTGCGTCTTCATTTTCAGGATAGAAAACACCTTCGTTTCTTCGTGCACCATGAAATCTTCGGACATTTTTTTCATCATTCGGAATTTTTTGGCCTACACCCCCCCCCCCCCCCCAACTATAGATGCTAGCTCCGCTCCTGGGCATCACTTTAGCACATATACATGAAATGGTGGTTGCATGCATGTCAACCAGGGGCGGATCCAGCTCCTGAGCTGACTGATGAATACAACGACCTCTCATTTGTAGGGGGGTCCGGGTGTATTCTTCCCCCAGGAAATTTTAAAATCTAGGACCTCAGAGAAGCGATTTCCTGCGTTCTGAGCGAACTCTTTTCTTCCAATTGATTTATCAGAGTCACAAAAATTTTGCTGCATTTTTGGGAAAACACGTAAAAAACTTGAACCTATATCGCAAAAACAACATAATTTCTCCATATAAGAAAAAAATATTTGCTGATACCCACAAGTGTAATAGCAGCAGTACTGTGCTTCTTGTAGCCTTAACTTTTCTATTGAATAACATTTCGGCAGAAAATCACGACAACGCAAATACACACATGCTGTGTAACAAAGGTGTATACAGTGTGATCCACTAGTTGCATTGCTGGACTCAGAAGACAGTGTTATTATGTTGTTTATGAACCACCTTCCTCTATTAATTTCCACTAATAATTAACAATTATTCGTCGAAGGCGAAGTGGTTACCGGTGAATATTCACCAAGACGAATTCGAAGTGAATATTCATCGTAATCACTGAGCCTGGGGCAAATAATTGTTTTAGTATAATTTTTTTATGAATGAAACAAAATATCCAAGTTAACCAACTATTAGTTTAATTAAAATTCACAAATAAAACTGTTTTGGACCGCGGGTTTACGGCTATTGTTTTAAGTTTTAGTGTTGCAGTGTTTCTTGTACACGCGCGCTTTCAAAATGGCTTCTTGTGTGACTTTATTGCTTTATTACAAAGTTGTTTTTCTCGATTTCTGCTTAGAATATAAACACAATGATGGAATGACTTTTTCACTAGACTTAGGATTTATGTCCAATACTCTCGACCTTGTTCGAATCGTGAATCGTAAAGGCGATCGTTAGATTCGTTAGATTCGCGAGTCTTATAGTTATATGATAGCGTATAACTTGTCCTGTGGCTTGTTGTGGATATGTCTAAGATTATAAGTCAGCTGGTTCATATAGTATCAATCTAGGTGAATGTCTTCGTAGATTCGTACAATTCGTACGAATCGTTCGAACCGTTCGATTCATGAATGCATTCAGAATAGTTCGAATGGCTACATTCATGAGGTTCATAGTATCAATGTAGGTGAATGTCTTCGTAGAGTCGTACGAATCGTTCGAACCGTTCGATTCGTGATTGGTTCCAGATTTGTTCGAATGGTCAGATTCGTGAGGTTCGTAGTATCAAATGGGTTCGTAGCTCTCTCTAAGTGAATGTCTTCTTAGATTTGTACGATTTGTACGATTCGTTCGAACCGTTCGATTCGTGAATGCTTTCACAATCGTTCGAATTGTCAGTTTCGTGAGGTTTGTAGTCTCAAAGTAGGCGAATGTCTTTGTACATTCGTACAATTCATACAAATCGTTCGATTCGTGACAGGTCTCAGATTTGTTCGAATGGTCAGGTTCGTGAGGCTCATAGTATCAAATGGGTTCGTAGTTCGCTCTAAGTGAATGTCTGAGTAGATTCGTACGATTCGTACGAATTGTTCGAACCGTTCGATTCATGATTGGTCCCAGATTTGTTCGAATCGTCAGATTCGTGAGGTTCATAGACATACGCCCGCATTCTGAAAGCTCACTCACATACACACTCAATGAGTGGAGGTTCAATCTGAGCTTTTTTGAGTGTCAATGCTGTTTTTGAATAGCAGGAGGGTGAGTAGTCACATAGAAAAGTACGACACTAACCCTCCAGTTATTTAAAAACAGCATTGACACTCAAGAAAAGCTCAGATTGAACCTCCAATCATTGAGTTTGAGTGTGAGTGAGCTTTTAGGATACGGGCGATAGTATCAATGTAGGTGAATGTCTTCGTAGATTTGTACGATACGTACGAATCGTTCGATTCGTGAAAACTTTCAGAATCGTTCGAATGGTTAGATTCGTGAGTTTCATAGTATCAATCTAGGTGAATGTCTTCGTAGATTCGCTGTACAATTCGTAAGGAAGCCTACGAATCGTTTGATTCGTGGTTGCTTTCAGATTTGTTCGCTATATCTAAACTTAAAAAACTTTAAAAACTCTTGAATATATTGCATTTGTGAGCCCTGAAATTAAATCTTTTTGTTGAAGTCCCAGAGAAAATTATTATTACGCAAATTTGAAGTATAGTATATGTATTTATATAAAGGAATATTTAGGGCTATATGAAAGATATAAATATAGGCATATTGAATTACCCGGTAATATAAGTTCAATTTAATCCATCTTTTATCACACTACATTAAATAATATCTAACATCTCTCGTCCGCCACACTTGAATCCCCGTTCTCTCCGTCCCGCGGTATATGTCTATGATACCACTAAATACTTCATTTAAATATAAATATAGGGTACCTTATCCCCCCTTTTTAACAGAAAATGTCCATGATAATGTCACAGTTATTTTAGTCCTTGAATATACCCATCATTGTGAAATGTTACATTTCATAGTCAATATATCTGGGGTTAGGTCTTCGTAGCCTTTGTGGTCGACGAGGAATACAAGATCCAGGGCAGTCGTTTGCGCTGCTTACTTCGCCTCCATTCTCATGCCCTGGTTCTACGTGGTTAGTCTCTTGTTTATCTTCCTCATCTTGATTTCCGCTTTCATAACTGTCATCTACCTTGGGTCTACACTGCTCAAACCATCTATGCCATTCCCCATTTTCGATAGCTTCATCCGATATTACGCCCCTTTCCATAACTGTATCATGCGGTCCGTAGTAACATTTGACGTCATCCGGGTGTCTTTTAAAGATCGTCCCATCACGCTTTCTTTCGATAGTTAGGAATCGATCATCATCTGAGCATTCAACAATCTCACAATTCTCTGGAAGGAATACAGGATCAAACTTGGAGGACTTTCTGTAATTTCGTAACATTACATCATCTCCAATTTGAAACTCTGACGGTATCTTATACTTAGATGCATTAACTTGGTCCTGACGATCCTGTTTCATTGCCTTGTCCTTTCCTCTAGCCTCTTCCACTTGCTCTGCAGGTACAGATCTTCTTGGGAAGGCACTCTTACTACTCTCTTTGAAAAGCATAGCAGCAGGGGGAATACCAGTAGCTGGGTGTGGGGTGTCACGATAATTCATCAACAGGTGGTTAAGTGCTTCTTTCTCCGAGGACTTGTTATAGTGTGCTATTTTCATGGTTTTTCCAAGTGGCTTCATAAAGGTCTCCACAGGATTAGCCGATGGGTGCAATGGAGGGATCTTCTTCAAATGGATATCTCGCTTCTGAGCAAATGCTTCCATAGCTTCCGAGTTAAATGGTGGTCCATTGTCCGAGAGTTGATGTTCTGGGTTTCCATACGAATTATATATCTCGTCCATAGCCGGGAGAACATGGGAAGCTTTGGTAGAGGCAACCAACTTTGCAGCTGGAAATCTTGAAGCTAGGTCCTGGACGACAACTACATGCTTTGAGGACGGCATAGGGCCAAATAGATCTACTGCAATCGTCTCCCAACATTTTCTTGGTACCTCGTGCGCTTTAATTGGTTCGGACGTCTTCTTGTCACTGAAAATATTGCACTCTTTGCAACTCTCGACGAATTGCTTCACTTTGGGATGCATATCATGGAAGAAAAAGTGATACCTTAGACGCCTTTCAATCCCACTCTGTCCCATGAGACTTCCTCTATGGGCCAGCTGAATTGCTGTATCTTGCAGGCTCTCTGGAAGAATAATTCTCTCTCCTTTGAACATAACGCCGTTTCCTGCGATGGTTATTTCTGGGATAAGTTGCTCGAACCTTCGTACTTTAGGATGCAAAGTTTTTGGTATCCATTTTCGATCATTTTGTATGATCTTTGCAAGCTCAGTTAATGTTTCATCCATCTTCGTGTGTATTGCAATATTCCCAATCCCAATGCTATCCATAACTGGCGTGGTGTGTAGCATATATAAGAGATTATTGAGCTCTTCCGCTTCTTCTCGCTCCTCGTTCGTCATCATTTGTAAAGGTTTGGCTTTCCTTGACGTAAAATCAACTTTATTAAGCTTTCCTTCTTGGTACACGACCTCGTACCTAACATCTTGATGCCGTAGCTTGATACGATCTGTGCGGATTGAACCCTTCTGGTTCTTGTTAAAAATAGAACAAAGAGGTTTATGATCCGTTACCACATAGATCGTCTGTGGTGCTCCTACGAGGTAATTGCGAAACCTTCTTAGGCCAAAATCAAGACTCATT